TAGCTGAACACTATAAAATCATTAGCTATGCAGATATGTCACAGGCTGCAGCATCTCCCTCTCCCCCCCCCCCCCCCACACACACACACACACACACACACTGAGCTCTCGCTGAGCTCAATGGGAAGCTCTGATGCATGTATCTGTTTACGCTGAGTGATGGCTGTGATTAGACACAGCCATCACGTGATTGGGAGGGCCAGTCACAGCACCCATGTCCCGATCTGCGATGTGCTGTGCGATCACAGGATTGCGCCGCTGCACTGCCCATGTTCTAACAGGATGTTCAGGAATGTCCATCCAGAATGGAAAAGCTCCCACCCGGCCACTGCACATAAACAGTTAAAGGTTTCTGTTGATAGGCATCTGGAAGCCCTCTTAAAGACCTTATTTGCTCTTACCAGTCCTTCTTTGCAGCCAGCTATTGCTGCCATGTCTGTTTGTCAGACTATTTCCTAAACCAACAGTATAAGACACATGAATAGAGACCAGTAACCTGTGTATGAGGACCCTGCTTTTTTTAGAATGATTACAGCTGATGCTTTCAGCTTGGTTCTTTTGTGTTGTTGCCCTAGAGCAGGGGTCCTCAAACTTTTTAAATAGGGGGCCAGTTCACTGACCTTCACACTGTTGGGAGGCTCGGACAATAGTTTGAAAAAAATATGAACAAATTCCTATGCACACCGCACATATCTTATTTGTAGTGCAAAAAAACTGGAAAAATATTTAAAATACACTGTACACTGTAACGCACTGGACACCAAAAGCATGGTACACTGCAATGCACTGTACTCTGTAACACACTGGACACCGCAATGCACTGTACATTGTAACGCACTGGACACCGCAATGCACTGTACAATGTAACGCACTGGGCACCAAAATGCACTGTAATGCACTTGACACCGCAGTGCACTGTACACTGTAAGACACTGGATAGCACAGTGCACTGTACGCTGTAATACACTGTACCTGGTGTGCTCTCCTATTGCTCCTCTGGCTGCAGAGAAATCAGCCTGAAGTCGCAAGGAGATTCTTCACCAGGCTTGGCCGTGAGGACCCAGCGAGCAGCCTAGCTATTTGCCGGCACTGGTTTCTTTTTTTTTTTTTCCGGCCAGCCCAGCAGGCCGGGTAAATAACTTTGGCGGGCCATAGTTTGAGGACCCCTGCCCTAGAGAATGTAATTTGTCAAGTCCTGTAGAATGTCCCTTTTCTCTATGCATATGCACAGGATTTTGTTTTTAAAAGCTTTTTCTGCTGAAGCTACTTGTAGAAAGCAACTTCTACTCATGTTTTTTGATGGTGAATGCCTATTTGGGGAACCCCTTGATAAATTCATTCAGGAAGTTACCAGTGGGGAAAGGTACTCCTGCTTCACAAGAAAAATCCCAAGTCTCGTTCTCCTTCTTTGACTCCTACTTCTGCTCAGCAAAAGTGTTTTTATTCTTTCCTGACTTCAACTTGCAAACCAAAGATTAACACCTCCTTTTGATCCCACATCTGAACTCCTATAGTCTATCGAGCCTGCCCAGAAGCCCTCCTCACAATGAAAGGTCACCCTTACTTTTCTGCATAGAGGGACGTCTGTTGGCATTTGTGACAGTGTGGATCCAAGATGTCCTGGACCTTTTGGATCCATCTGTCATTTTAAAGGTGTACAAAATAGAGTATGCTGCCTTCTCACTTTTTAGCTTGTAATTTGCTGCCTTCAGACCAAAAGAAAGCAGATTTAATGACCACCATGTGCAAACTTTAGACACAAGGCGTGGTTGCACCAGAATATTTTCAAAGTTTCTGTTTAAACTTATTTACAGTCCTAAAACTAAACTGGGACATTCACACACCATACTAGACATAAAATCCCTGAACAGATTGGTTTGTGTACCAAACTTCCAGGGGGAAACAAACATTATCTGATATTCTCTCAGACAATGGAAATTTCTGTTATCAGTAGGCATACAAGATGTCAATCGACAAATTCCCATCTTCCACTCACGTCAGTGCTTTTTGCAATTTTTTTCTTTTTGTAGCGCTACCATTCGGGCTCTCCTCTGCGACCTGAGTGTCTACAAAAGTATTTGCCCCACTTCTGGATCCTCTGTGTACCTAGGGCATTCAGGTTACCTGGATAACCTTCTACTCAAGGACTCCTCACCCACAATCTTTTCTGGCAACATTCTAAGGATGATTCAGTTCCTTCAAACCTGTGGCTTTATAAATAGTGTAAATTGGTCCAATCTTGGATACAGCCTAAGCTGGAAGTTTCCTTTACCAGGAGCAATTTACTTCCCCTAGGTCTCACACAGGGACTCTCGGGTCAGAAGAGCACCCGTCAGTTTGCTTCCGTCATGACTGTTCGGGTCTCAATGGTAGCATCCATTGAGGCAGTTCCCTTTTTGCCTTTTTTCAATCCAGACCTGAAACAAGCAAATCCAATCCTTGTATTGCCCAGTGCTTTTGTCCAGCCAGACAAAGCTCTCCCAGACATGGTAAATCCTGCCATGGAGCTGGTAAAGTCTTCCCTTCATATGCCCTGGAAGGTGGTGACAATGGGTGCCAGCCTTGCAGGCTGGGATAGAGTTTACAATTTCCTATCTTAAAGGGACCTGACCTTCATAGAAGTTAAAACATATTGGCACCGAGAGTAATAAAATGATCTCTACAACCCTGAACGTCGATTCTAAAATGTCACCCAGTTGGGACAGTCCTCTTATGGAACCTTCCTTCTTACGAATTGGAGGTACCGCCAACTGACTAACTTTATATCTAAACGAGCCTAAGCCGCCTTCTAAAAATGCCTTTTACGCCATTTAAATCTTCCTGATTCTAGGTATTTGTTATCACAAATGTACAAAATTGTATTAAGCACTCACTCAAGACTTGTTCCGTATTAAATTAGAGAATGGGATATACAAAAGTCAGTGAACTTTGGGAAATGGAAGACCTCACGGCTACACTGCACAATGCAGAGGAGGTCCTGGCATCATTTCATATACACCAATGCCTACCTCTGAGTTAGCCACAACCCAGTGATTCCAGTCCCGTGCCTCCCAGTCTCCTACCCTGGAAAGGGATGCCTCCCTCTTCTCTTTCTCCTTTACCACGAGTCCCTGGTCTTTTTTCCCCTCTCTCACTTCCCCCCCCTCCCCGGTCCTTGGCAGCACCTCTCAATCTGTTTTTATGTTTAAAATCTGGTAATTGCTCATTTCATACCATATCTGGGATTAGACCACCGCAAGTGTTCATGTTTTTCCACAGACCCGCTTTCTATGGACTATGTTATCTCTTCCATTGTATATTTTCAGATTACGCTCCAGTAACATACTGTTCTTTTTTTCATTTTCTCAGTATTACTTTAGCGATTAATGCCACTATCCGTATCATGTTTTTTTTTTTTCACATATGTATGACACTCTGTCGTGTGTCTATTGAACTCATATCTGTAAACTGTTTAACTTCTGCTGAAATAAAGGAATTGCAAAAAAAAAATATAGAATGGGAGAAGGAACTTGGACTGGATTTTACCACCCCAGATTCAGTGGATGATCAAATTGGCACATATCTGTAAATACAGATACACTTCCCCTCAAGAGCATTGCTTTGGGACATCCCAAATAATGATTATAGCCTGTTCTGTGTCCCCTGATGTACAATTAAGAAAATTGGATTTTTTTTCTACTTACCTGTAAAATCTATTTCTTGAAGTGCATCACGGGATACAGAGGTTCCTTTTCCTCTTCTGGCAGTTCATTGCTTGCTACAAAAACCGAGGGACTTACTGTATGGCAGGGGTTATATAGGTCAGGATTTCCTGTCTGTTTTTTGATCTCCCAGTGTCCATTCACCTATAGGTGTTGCATAACTCAGATGGTAATGATTATTGCCTGCTCTGTGTCCTATGATGTACTCCAAGAAATTAATTTTACAGGTAAGTAAGTAGAAAATTTCCAATTGTATACAGTGGAGTTTACCTCCGCTTTAGGGGACAGATTTCTTCTTATCTATTTCAGAAGCATCTTTTCTCTCAGTCCCTAATCAAGACTTTCCTTGAGGGAATTGCTTATATAAATCCCCAAATTAGACCTCCTGTGTGGGATATCGACCTGGTGCGCTGTGAACTTTAGAGACCACCCTTTGGACCAATTAGATATATTCTGTTAGAAGACTTCACTTATAGGGTTGCCTTCCTGGTAGTGTATAGGTGGATGTTCAGGCATCGGCTGATGTGAACATAGACCGCAAAGTGCTTCAAACTGTTGTCTGAGCTTATGTTGTTTGGGTTCTTTAACACGTGTTTTCTTGTGGGCCTGTGGAAAGTTCTGTTTGCTTTGATGTAGCCTAGCCCTCAATGTATTGCTTGAGTATAGCCCATGGTCTGTGAATACAAGTTCTATATCCTGTACTGTACGAGTAAGAATTTTGACTTACTCCTTTTTGCTTGGTAAAAGAAAACAAAAAAACGGAGTCTCACAAAGTGGGCAGGGTTACATGGATTGCTCTAGGGGTGACCCTAGCAAGTTTTTGTCCCAGTTTCCATTTTCCTTTAGCCTTCATATAACCCATGGTCTATGAATACAAATCCTGTACTGTACTCGGATAGGAAATTTACAGGCAAGTAAAAAAATCCTTTTTGTTTATTCTTGTGTTGATGAATGATTGAGAAAAAGTGTCCATGCATGCCACTTTTATTGTGACTGAGCTATAAAATATTTGCTGCGTGTAAGGTTTTGTGCTTCTATTCGTGGTTGCAAGATAGAATTGATATAGTGAGGCTTTGTATGTTGTCCACTTCATGCAACACATCCCTCCCTATACTTACTAATTCTCTCATTGTCTACCGTTGATTCTTTAAACGAAGACTTCTTAGGAGACATTTGGTTGAGTGAGCCAAAAAGAGCAGGTAGCTGAGATTTAGCGAAATGTGATATTTTTATTTGCTACATTGTGCCTGCTTTGTGGTGTAATATCTTTCCTTTTTTTTTTTTCCTCTGTGCATTTAGAGTTTAGCAGGCCGTTTTCTGGAAGTTGTTTTAAAAAAAATAAAAACTGGGAAGAGATCCATAGCACCAGCATATCTCCAGGCCCTTTGTAGGGTTTTATGTGGGATTGTGTCGTCAGATTGGAGATATTGAAAGAGCACGGATTCTTTGTTATAGCATACTTAAAGAAGGTACAGTTGTATGTTGTTTTTTTGTTTTGTTTTTTTTTTTAAAGAAAACCTCTACTTTTGTTAAAAAAAGTGATTAAGCATGGGTTTTAACAAATTTTGTTGCCAATTCCTAATTTTCCCGCTCTGAAGAAATAGCTGGCTTTTGTGTGCAGTGTGAATCTGAATGGTAGTGACTTTTTTCATTATTAACCTTTTGACCTCCGGAAGGTTTTACCTCCTTCCTGACCAGAGCATTTTGTGCTATTTGGTACTGTGCTACTTGAACTTTTAATTGTGCAGTCATGAAACTCTGTGCCCAAACAAAATTTATATCCTTTTTCACATAGAAAGAGCTTTCTTTTTGTGGTATTTGATCAACACTTTTCTTTTTTTTGCAACATAAAGCTCCATGCACACTGGGTTGTTTTAATAACACTGATAACGTTAGCTTTGTAAAGTCACGTTGAAAACGTGAGTTTTTCAGTGTTTTTTAGCGCTTTTGTATTCGTGTCTAGCCACACTTTTTTTTTTGTGGACTTTCGTGTTTGCATTTTTTCAGTGATTTTTAGAGGGTGTTTTTTTTTTACCAACAAAAGGTTTTTTGGTCAAAATACTGTCCAAAAATGCTGGTTTGCTGCGATTTACCACGTTTTGCCTCATTTTTCTTTTTTTTTTTTTTTTTTATTTAAATATGTATTAAATTTCCAGATATACAAACAAGTTATACAAACATACTCAGTAAAACCTTAGCATATTATCAAAACATTTATCGTTTCATCCATTCCCCCCATCCCTGCCCCCCCTCCCCCTACCTATATACCAACCCATCCCCCCCTCATCCAATCCCTGACCCCTTCTGCTCTGCATTTTCCTGTTCATTTCTGGAGATCGTAATCCCTATAAAGGAAGAACAAAATATGTTTCCATATTATTCTATGTTAATCCCCCATAACCTCTTAGGCTAGCCTTGACTTTTTGAATTCCTCCCATTTGTTCCATCTTGTATGGTGACTCTGCATCTTATCTTCATTCAAATGATAAAGTTCCTCCAATTTACATATTTGATCCACCCTATCCACCCAGTCTTTTATTTTCGGCACCTCCTGTCTCCTCCAATACTTGGGTATCGGTCTCTTTGCTGCATTCAAATAGTACAATAAACCAGATTCTTTGTATTTTTTAACTGGAGGCTTAGTACTATGAAAAAGGCAAATTTCTGGGTCTACTAGAACATCAACTTCTGTGATTTTCTGAATCAAGCTTACTATTTTCCCCCAATACTCTTGTATTTTAGAACACTCCCACCATATGTGATACATTGTGCCTCTACCTCCACACCCACGCCAAGATAAAGGTGAATTATTTCCACTCAATCTGTGTGATATACCATCTTTCCAAACACTTATAATTCATTTCTACCTCCTGCATATTTATATTTCCGTGGATTAGTCTATACATTTTCCTCTGTTTTTCCGCATCTATTGTTACTCCTATTTCTCTTTCCCATTTTTCTATATATGGTGGACTTATATCTGCATTTATTTCAGTGAGAATCTTATATATTTTAGAAGTTCCGTGTTTCCCATCTTTCCATGTATCTAATAAGCTCTCAAAAGGATTCCAATCCTCTTATTCTTAAAGGCTTTGGAAGCTTTCCTATAAAGTGTTTCAATTGAAAATAACGCCACTCATTCATTCTCGTAAAAACTTCTTTTTTTTCCAATTCCTTAAGTGATCCTATTTCCTCACCCACCATTATATCCCTTAATTGTGCATATTCCTTCTTAATCCACTTCCCTGTGATACCTTCTTTACCCGGGGGGAAAATCTCTGTGGACTTTAAGGGCATTAACAATGAATTAAATTCCCATCCCATCTGTTTGTGTAAAACATCCCAAACTCTTAAAACATTACATGTATTGTGGAGGTAACCATACAATTCCACTTAATATAGTATTACTTAGTATATTTTCTATTTTAACTCAGCTTTTCCCCTCTGCATTATATGTCCAATCCAATCAAAAATTCTCACCATTAATACCGAGTTATAATATCTTTTTAAATCTGGGACTCCCAATCCTCCTTTCTCTTTATTTCTCCATAAAATTTCCTGGCTTATTCTCGATTTTAAATTCCTCCAAATAAATCTTAACATTTTTTTTAATTGATCTAAAGTATACTTCTGGTAGTTTAATTGGTATAATTTGAAATTTATATAGTATTTTTGGAACAATCACCATTTTTATCAAATTTATTCGACCTATCCATGACGGGGTTCCCCCTCCTAATTTCCTTAGTTCATCCCTGATCTCATTTAACAATGGGAAATAATTCAATTTATACAAGTTCTTGGAGGATACGGTTAATTTTATTCTTTCTCTCCAAACAAAGGGAAATTCCTCCTGTAACCTATTGTTCTCTCTGTTTGGAAGATTTATGTTTAAAATTTCTGTTTTTGTTGGGTTCATTTTTAAATTTGACATCTCCCCATATTCTTTTTTTTGTTTACAAATGGTTTTATTTAGCAAAAATAGAGTGTAAAACAACAGTGCAGTTTCAAGTGATACAGTAAAAACAAGGCACTTTTGAAAAGTACAATACAGAAAAATATATTAACATAAGAAAGCGAGGAAATAGAAAAGAGTAGATTGCAAGTACATGAAAAGCATAGACAGTAAAATAGGTGGAATGATACATCTGTCAACAGTGTATGCCAGCTAACCTTCACATAGAATGTTGCTAATCACGCAATAAATGTCTATAATCCCTCCAGGATTTCCATTTATTATCAAATAAGTGCATCTTATCCAGTAAGGTATAATGGATACATTCCATGAGCATCACAGCATCAACTCTGTGTAAAACGGAGGCCAAGGGTACGGTATTGGATTTCCAATGTAAGGCAATAGCCCATAAAGTAGCAATACAAATAATATGCATCAATCTCATAATGGCATCAGGTACCCCCGGGATATGAGCCCCCAATAAAGAGGTCTGCATAGACAAACGTACCGGGAAACCCGCCAATGAGGTAACTATCTCAGATATCCTGCGCCAAATCAAAGATATGGTCGGGCAATCCCAGAACGTATGAACCAAAGTACCTGTGAGGCCACAGCCCCGGAAACATAAAGGGAACATTTGAGGGAACAATACATGTAGTCTTGATGGGGTATAATACCATCTGGTTAAAACCTTAAGGGCCGTTTCACGGACATAAAGAGATCTAGAACACTTACATATGTTATCCACCATGGAATCCCAATCCTCATCTGAAAAAATGATACCACCATCCTCTTCTCATCTTCATCTATACAAAGGGGGTGTAGGAGAAAAACAGATTAAAAATTGGTGAAAAAGATCAGAAATAAGACCCCTACCACTAGGAGAGTCACGACTGACACGTTCAAAAAATGAAATCGGAGAACAAGGTATAAAGCCAAAATGTGAATTAAAAAATGTCTAATCTGTCGGTAACGATGGTATTCACGAAGAGGAACTTCAAAAAGCACGAGCAACATATCAAAAGTAATATAAGATCCTCCTCTTTGAAAATCAGATAATCTAATAAAAGATCGATCATACCACCAACGAAACGTTTGAGGGAAGAAAAAGCTGTAATAAAAGTAGGATCACCAAAAAATGAAACACCTAGAGGGATAGAAGAAACTAGATTTAATTTAAATTTGTATTTGGACCAAAGTGTCAGTGAGTGGGTCACTATGGAGTTATGAAAGGTAAGCGATCGAGGGGAGATTTTGGACCACAAAATACCCAGTAAATAAAATGGGCGTATAGACTGAGATTCAAACTTGGTCCACGGGATCTGAGAATTAACAGTTGCCCGTTGCGATAATTGTGCAAAACGAGCTGAGAGATAATATAGCCAAAAATTGTGAAGAACGAGACCTCCCGTCCGTTGTGAGCGGTATAAAATAGATGAAGTAAAACGTGTACGTTTATTACCCCAGATAAAGTTATTAATAGTCCGCTGTAAGTGATCCAAAAACATTTTCGAAACCGAAACTGGAAGTGCTCTTAAAAGATAAAGTAGCTTAGGCAGGATATTCATTTTAACTGCCGTGACTCTACCCAGAAAGGAAACAGGGTAACCATGGCAAATCTTCAATAGTGTAGAGAGATGTGATACACATGGCGGATAATTAGCAGCAAATTTTTCCGAATATCTAGGAGTGAGATTAATACCCAAATAGGAAATCCGATCCGTGACCCAGCGAAATGGAAAAGAACTACGGAGAGATGCACTTAGGGAATCGGGCATAATCACCGATTTGGTAAAATTGACAGTAAGACCTGGCGCTATAGCAAAATCATTCAATACGGCACAGAAATTAGGCAATGAAGTTAACGGATTGGTAAGGAAATGCATAACATCATCAGCATACATGCATAATTTGGAAATGTGAAATTAATAATGGATAGCCAGAAATATCCGAATGTGATCTGATAGCAATTGCCATAGGTTCCAACACCAGTGCAAATAAAAGGGGTGAAAAGAGGACAGCCCTGACTGGTACCTCTACCCTATGTAAAAAAATCAGAATTACAGCCAGGAAGCCTTATTCTCGTTTTAGGAGAGTCGTATAGGGCGTGTATACCAGCCAAAAACTCATTACTGAAGCCCATTTTCTGCAGCAAGGAAAACAAATAAGGCCAAAGAACACTGTCAAAGGCCTTGTTTATGTCCAGACTCATCAACAAAACCTCTTTAGAATGTAAATTGGCATCTTGAATAACATTTAGTGTGAGGTGAATGTTATCAGTAATAAATCTGTCTGGAATAAAACCCGATTGGTCCGGAGAGACCAAAGAGGAGATAATAGGGGCCAGCCTGTCTGCCAAAATACAGCTAAATATTTTCAGATCGTTATTCATTACTGAAATTGGTCTATAGTTTTGTGGTAAATGGTGGTCTTTCAGTGGTTTAGGTATTAAAGACATATTAATCAATAGCATCTCCTCAGGGAATTTACCTCCCTGCAAGACATCATTAAAATAAA